ACACACACACACACACACACACACACCGTGAACACACACCCGGAGCAGTGGGCAACCATTTTTGCTGAGATGCCCAGAGAACAATTGGGGGGGTCAAGGGTCAAGGGTCAAGGGTCTCACCTCAGTCGTGGTATTGAGGGTGGAAGAGAGCGCTGGTCATTCACTCCCCCCACCTACAATCCCTGCCAGTACCGAGACTCAAACCCACGACTCTCTAACCATTAGGCCACGACTGCCCCCAAAGCCAAGATGAAATTGAATGTAAAGGTAACAAACACAGTGCAACTTCAGTCTATCGTATAGAGGAATTTTCCATAAGCTCACAGTATGACATGCTTACTATCAATCTAGCTTTAGCTATTGACTGGGTGCGTGTGTTGGACATGAACAACGTGGCTGATGGAAGAAAGCTCAAGTTCACAAAGGTAGATTTGGAAGAGATTGGATATGCAGGTTGTTCCAGAGTTCACATGTGTAAAAGTGTAACACAAATCCAAGATTGCAAACTATATAGGTTGTATCAAAGCAAAGCAAATTCAATTTCACATGGAAAAAATTATATGTGGTTTTCGTGCCAACATGTATCCCTCACAAAGTGTCAATCACTGCACTTGTAACTGCACATAGGCTAAGCTGTTTGACCCACTGTTCTATTCTGTGCTATTCTGGAAACAAGTGTGGAATGAGGTGGAAAGATTGTTGTGTGTGCAGGAAATAAAAAACGACTCAGTTCAAGTTTGCGATCAGTAAGTTATTTTTAAAAAATAATAATATTTTTATTCAGAAAGGGTACATTAAATTGATCAAAAGTGACAGTAAAGACATTTTTATGTTATTTCTTCTTTTTTTTTTAAATAAATGTTATTTTGAAATTGTTATTCTTCAGAGAATAGAAAATAAAAAAGATATCATGGTTTCCACAAAAATATTGATAATAATAATAAATTAGAATGATTTCTGAAGTATCATGTGACACTGAAGACTGTAGTAATGATGCTGAAAATTCATCATTGCATGTAATAATATTTAGAATAACATATTACTGTTTTTATTGCATTTTTGATCAAATAGATGCAGCCTTGGTGAGAATAAGATACTTATTTTATAAACATCATTAAAAACACTTACTGCAGTGTATTTTGTGCTTTTCATAGCATTACACTAAGCCCCATTTACTATCTTAATTCAATCTTTCATTACCTCAGGGGTAATGCACTCAATGACTTTAGAGTTAAGCAGACTGCTCAAGGGGAAGACAGTAAAACCCAGAACAGATGCTGTTATCAGCAACCCTCGGTACTTTGAGCAATTCCTCTAGTGCTCCAATGGTAGTTAGTCTGGTAACCCAAACAATAAAGGTGCCGCCCCACTGGCTTAATCAAAACTATATGATTTGGATATCTGATGTCAGATTGTTTTAGATAACACCCTCTTCTGTTGAAGGCCTGATTAAAGACGGAAACAAGTATGTAATTTAAAGGGTTCATATGATGCGATTTCAAGTTTTCCTTTCTCTTTGGAGTGTTACAAGCTGTTCGTGAATAGATAAGATCCCTGCTTGTTGTTTGTCATTTCTCCGATCACAAATGCAGACATGGTTTTATGTTTATGTGGCGTGATGCAACGCGTAAAACGACAGTATAAGTCATTATAATCAGTAATTATGTCCCCACTGGATGCAACAAATGCCTCGTTTGTAATGGGTTTTATTGGTTTTGTCTCGTCGTGCCGGGAGACGGCATCACAGTATGGTAAGGGGCGTAACATTTCCGTCACACACTTGAGGTATTCAGCCAATCACAACGCACTGGATAGCTGGCCAATCAGAGCACACCTCGCTTTTCAGACCAATGAGCTTTGTAAAAATCGACGCGTTTCAGAAAGGCGGGGCATAGAGGAGAAACAATAATATACAGTATGTGGAAAATACTGTTTTTTTTTAACCTTAAACCGCATAAACACATTTCATTACACCAAATACACCAAATAATGTTCTTTTTGATCAACGTCATATGACCCCTTTAAATACGTCTGTGTTTCCGACATCCTTCACGACTTTGATTGACACAATAGCGCACTGGAGAAAGCTAGTAAGCTTTGAATCTGACTCAAAGGGGACTGTCAATCTGAGTTACCCTCTGTGGTGGGATTATGATATGAGTTGACCCAGAAGTGATGGGTGACCTGTGGAGCAGGTTAATTATTTAAGCTGCTTAAACCAGTCAAAGGTTACAGATTCCTACCTTGGGGCCTTCAGGTCCACTTGGACCAGCTTCACCATGATCACCCTGAGAGATAAGGACAAAATTGATTAGAGAAAGATGGCCATGCAGGAAGAAAAATGGATGAATTGTGTTCTGTCTAATCCACCAATATGTTTTCTGTGCTCTAGCATGACTTTATAGTGATGTGCCAAGTTTCTTTTTCCTCTTTGAAACTCTTCATCTAGCATAGCAATTGATGAACCTCACATTCAGGGCTCTGCCCTGTAGCTTAGTGGTTTTCAATCACTCTGTTGAATGATTAATTTATACATCACTCCTTCACAGTTCAGCTTAATTCCTGAAGGTTCCTCTGAGAAGAAGGATACGTTTCTAACAGTTTTGTTTAAGCAATCAACCGCAGTGCCAAATTTCTAGTCCTAAAATGTGGGATTTGACGAATGGCTTTTCGGATAACACAAACAATAAAAGTCTACTCACGTACTTTGATAGACACACTCACCTTTTGTCCAGGTACACCGGGTTCACCCTATAAAAAAGCAAAAACCATCAAAGACCTCTATTTGCTCTTTTTATTTGTTTCATACAGTCAGAGCTATCCAGTTGTAAAATGGGCAATAAGCAGAGCGGTATTCCTTTATTGGGAACTTCGTGTCCAAAGGAGAAAGCTTCTAGTTACAGCTGTTATATAGACTGGCAGACAATCTTTATAGAGAGCTGAAATGTGCTTCTATAAGGGACTAGTGCTTCTAAATGGAGTACAATTAAAATTCCCCAGTCTAAACTCATTGGCAATTAACGCATCAGGGGAAATACATACTTATCCAACAGCAACACGGATAATCAATTATGGCATATCCACCCCTTCTGTACTGGCAACGACAGAGCAGACCCACCCTGTAGGCTGCTGAACTGTGTGTGAACTTCATTTGAGCCTGTTTACGACTCGCCTGTGGAAAATACTATCATTGCAGTGCAGCTGGACAGCTGTGTGCTTTTCGAGCTTACCTTCAGCCCTGGTAGCATCTACGAATGAAAGAAAAAGAAACAGACTTTCAGTTTTCAGTCAAATAATGTCAAGTATCTGAGTCAAACATACTTTCAGTTTGAAGCTTAAATTGTCATATGGAGCATTACAGACTTCCGAGTTTAAGTCAAGTATCTGTATTAGGAAGGTAAGGATGACAATGCATGTATTCAAACACTCACCCTTGGGTCTTTTCCAGGTTTTCCAGGTTCTCCGGGTTTACCCTATGCCAAAAATGAGTAAATAGTTATAACACACACACACACACACAAAACAAATAAATAAATAAACAAACAAATATGAGACAATGACTGGAACAATTACACAGTGTAATGGTTATTATACCAAAAATATTTGACTGCAGAATCCCATAAAAGGACAATTTATTCCAGAGAGCTCTGAAATAAATTTAATTAGCAAATAGCTTGAGTTTTGTAAAAAAAAAAATGACTGATGCAGACTTACCGGGGGCCCACTAGCACCAGTTAGGCCAGGATTCCCTGGAGGCCCTGGGGGGCCAGGAGGTCCCGGTGGTCCTTGCGCTCCGGGCTCGCCCTGCTGAGAGACAGGAAGTTAGCATCTGAGATAAAGATGTCATTTGTGAAAAAGGTACAGTTTATAAGATCATAGGCAGGGTCCACTCCGATTTAAATCCAGTAATTCACAATAATGAAAATAAACAATTTGTTGATGGAATGTCTACTCAAAGAAAAATATTTAGAAAATTTTACAAAAAATTCACAATAATTCACTGATGAAACAGTGGATTTGAAGCTGAGAGGAACCCAAGCCTAGAGGTTGAGTTGAAAGTCAAGAGTCAGGATGAAATAATTGATGTGGTTATTGTAGTTTATAGAGTACCATGTTTGGAAAAAAAGAAAGTGAAATGATTTTTAATAATATTAATTAAAAAAAGTTTGGAAAAAAATACAAATTTACACTTCAATGCTTTTAAGAAGCACCTTAGGGGCCCACTGACCATTAGCTAATGGCTTCAACTTTTCAAACGCTGTAAAATTGCTTGTGGCCTCACAGATCTTCTTCAGTAAGGTCTGCATTAGTGGTTCTCAACTGGTTTTGTTTGAAGACCCAATTTAGAATTATACATCAAATGGAGACCCAAAATTGTTTGTTGTACAAAATTGAATTTCATTTGTTTCGTTCTATTGGGAGCCAACAACAACAAAACACACTGTGGTCGGCACAAAACATGTTTATCCTCATTGTAAGTCAACTCAAATTCCATGTAGTCTAAGTCATGTTTTTTGAGGCGAGTTTGATTTGACATGCAGCCTTTGACATAAACAACAAAATATATATGATTTTTCTCATTTTTAATAGTTAATAAGTCCATTTATTTTGCTATTCTAGAAAGATGCATTCTATTATTTACATTAAGCATAGCTTTTCCCTGGTGTCCGCAATCCTGCTGACCCAAATTTTTTTATTTTTTTATTTTTTGATCCACCAGTTGAAAACCACCACTCTACATGATCTACTCATGGCCTGTTTTAAAACTATCTCGGGTACTTCTCAGCAAGAGGAGACCTTCAACACAGAAGAAGACTAAACAAAATCATCTACAGGAAAGTGTCCTGTATTTACACAGCGAGAGGGATGTGAAAATAGGAAATAAGGCTGGACTAAACAATATCCTGCTATTCCTGAGAAGAGACCATAAGGAGAACTGATTATTTAAGATTCTGCTGTGTAATTATTTTTTTTAAAAGTCTGTTTTCGACATTAAAGAGGTCTAGTATGCACTCCGAGAACTCGGTGTAAGTTAGAATAACTTTCCTTCTATTAAAAGCATTTATTTCAAGTCTCCTATAGACAGAAAATTAAGACCTCCTACATGCTGGCAACCATGCACAAGACTGATTAACCACAAATAACGCAGATACCGTGACAAAGAGAGGCCTTTCTTTAATGCAGTCTGTGTTCAGTAGCACTCTGAAGCTCAGAGAAATCCGGAACACATCCATCAGACTCAGATCCATATTTTATCCATTTATTTCTTGACAGGACTTGTCTACATTTGATTTATGAGGCCAGATGTAGATCCATTAAATAGAGACATTCCATGATCTCCATCCAATGCACAGACCCGACCCAACCTGAAGACCCAGCCAATCAGCTGCAAAGTTCTTTCCCTAACACTGTGGTCTTCAGCAGTCTGTACCATTGTCTCCAAACATGGTGCTCTAAATCGGTGCACACAGACTACACACCTGTAGAAATAAGATGGAAGACGGGTGCCAACCGTGGTCAGCCTGTGCCAGGGGCACTTCCTGGAGTGGGCAGTAAAGGCAGAGAGCCTTTTAATAAAGCCAAAGTGGAGGGCTGACATCTCCCTTTAGGAAAGACTAATTTTGCTGCCAAATGAGCTCTCACAATCTTTTGTTATCTTTCGACTGTCGTTGTGCGGATTATAGTGCATTATTATATATATAAATGTACATTGTGAGCTTATAAACATCCCATGAAATGGCTTAACGAATGAAGTTTAGTTTTCATTTTAGATAGCAGCTGATTGGACGACAAAAAAAAAAGGACATTCCGATGAGTTTTGGACTTTTTTCAATGAAGAGAAAGAATTTTAAATGTGTATATGTGCTGGAAGTTAATTGGTATTTTACAACAATTTACAACAGTGTTCTATTTGTTAACATTAGTTAATGCAACATCTAAAATTAAATAAAAAATACTTTATAGTATTTATTAATATTGGTAAAATATTAACATATGAATATATTTTTAGCAAGTTGTATAAACTAACATCAGTTAATATGGGAACACTTTTAATGTGTCCTTGTTACAGGTTAAAGGTATTATAAGACGTGATAGTAAATTATGCATAATTACAATAAACACTAAACCAAACCCTAAACCTACAATAAGTACATGTAGTTAATTAATATTACTCAGTACATATTTGTAACCAGGACACATTAAAATAAAGTGTGGCCTTTAATATAATATCAACAAGCATGAATTGACAATGAACAATAGCAAAATTAATATTAAACTATATGATATAATTCTTTAAAAATTGATGTCTATTGTTCACGATACCTGATGCATTAACTTTTACGTAATTTTACCTCAAAGTTAACAGATGTGACCTGATTTCATGGGGTCTTTAAAATATTTCTCACATCCAAAATTCTCTAGTAGTTGTATTTTAAGTATTTCCAAAATGATCTCTGAAAAAGTATTACTATACCATTACAAATACCATTCAGATAACAGCTTAAAAATACTTGAACGATTCCTAAATTTGCCCAACATTATAATAGGACTAGACATAAGGATAATCCATTATATATTAGTGACTTTTATTGAGCTAATGTCCAGTTAAAACAGATGGACAATGTCTGAAATGACAGAGAGGGCCTGACAGAAGCTCTTCCTGTGGGGTAGGGTTTATATACCAATAAATCTTGTGAATTGGACATTATTTTAGAAAATAAGTGTATTTCACGTGGACTATGTCATATCATGACAATGAAACTATTGGCTATTATATTTGTCTCGAGCTCAGGGAGGGTCACTAACAGGACCGGCTGGCAGTGGGTGGACGAAGGTTGGCATCCGTAGGGAAGGCGTGCGAGGGTGGCAGAGAGAGATGTACCTTGAGGCGCTTTAGGATTAGAGGGCTTATTGAGGGCATGTTGCGGACGGTGATGGGCAACATCTGCTGAGGTCACAAAGCACAGGTGGGCCACAGTGCACAAAACCAGTTCACCAGGAGGCCAAAGGAAGGTAACGGACCAGAAAGAGGAGAGGAGGGTAAGGGGAAAACAGAAAAACAAGTGAAAAAGAGAGTGAACAGTGAGGAAAGAGCAAGGCAAGGGCATAGAGAAAGAGAGAGATGAAGTAGAAGAAGGAAAAGACAGAGCCGAACGGATTCAGCATCACTGAACAGAGTCACGGGTCCATCAAAGCGGAGTTCTGTAGCTCTGTGTGCTAGTTTTTGTCATTTTCACAAATATGATTATACTGTTTCTAATAAGTAGGGCTGTTAATTTAATGCATTCATTTACTGTGGTTGATTATTAAACTTTTAACATAATTAATCATCAAATTAATTTGTAAAGCTGGAAAAAGATTTACGTTCAATAATATGTAGTTAAAATAAATCGACTGACAGCCTTGTTAAAACATTTACATATCAAACATTATCATTATCGGTGATAATGTTTCTATCTTCATTTCCACTGTGACGGCATCTGTGACTCTGCAGCAATGCTGCGTAGATCAGGCTTGATTCAGTCTTGCCACAAAGAGAGCTTCGCAATGGACTTACTGTGGCCTGTACTCCAGCACAGGCGTTGACAATACGGCGTTTCTGTTGAGATCAGCAGCATTGCAAAGTACAGATTGAAGAGTTATTGACCCATAGATATACCACTAATAATTGATGTTACCTTACAACTTGCCTTCTTGGGAGTTGCCTGTATTTCGCAACTCTATTTAATGGTTTACACATAAAAATGCATCCCAAAGAACTGAAGACTACTGAAAATGCTGCAGTTCTGCATTCTTTCTTTAATTCTAATTTTAATTCTAATTCAATCAAATGTTGGTTTATATTTTTCAAAACCCTAATACATTTTGTTTATTTCCAGGTTTAAATGGAAAAAACAAACAAACACATTTTGAATGGGGTTTCAGATTTTTAGACCGTACTGTTCATGACAAATACACTACCATTCAAAGGTTTGGGGTTGGTAAGATTTGTCTCTTATGGTAATATTGTGAAATATTATTACAATGTAAAATAACTGTTGTCTATTGGAATATATTTTAAAATGTAATTTATTCCCGTGATGCAAAGCTGAATATTCAGCATCATTACTCCAGTCTCCAGTGTCACATGATCCTTCAGAAATCACTCTAATATGTTGATTTAATAAACATTTCTTATTATTATCAATGTTGAAAACAGTTGAGCTTTTTGTGGAAACAATTGCGCGTTTATTTTCAGGATTATTTGAAGACTAGAAAGTTCAAAAGAACAGAATTTATTTAAAATATTAATCTTTATAGAATTATAAATGGTTTAGTGTCGCTTTTGGTCAATTTAATACATCTTTGAAAAAAAAATCTTACTGACCCCAAACTCTTGAACAGTTGTGTACATATTCAAATACAGTAACATTCAATAATTCAAATACAAGATATAAATATATTATAATTTATATATATTTTTAAAAAGCAATATTAAGTAAAATGCATTAATAAATGCATTTTTACTATATTGGCTCACTGAATCTATATTGGCTCGCTGAATTTTAGAGTAAGAGGAAAGTACAAGCAAATCAAGAAGGCAAGGGCTTTCAAGTGTTCTTATCTCCCTGCAGAAGGTTTTTCACCAATTTTACCAGAAAGTTACATTATGTTAAGGTACTCTATGCATAAGGAGGCCAATGAAAATATGAAAGACACATGGTATTTATGTATTTAACATTTGGATGCAGTTTTGATGCCATATAAAGTTACAGTTGCATAGTGTACCTTAAAATGATATACCACAACCATAAAAGTTCCCTGAGAAGGCCAAAGAAAAAGCGGGAGAACAGCTGCGTGTTAAGATGTGCCATTATAAATTCCCACAGTGTTTTCAATCAGTTGTAATAACAGGCACCTTTCTGCACCTCCAGCAGTGCACGTGAATAAACTAGAGCACAGTTCTCAGCTATGTCTCTCTTTGCAGCAGGACTGTAACACACACATATTCACGGTATTAGGGATGAGGGACAGCGAACAGCCCACAAACCTTCAACATTAGAGCCTGACTGGAGCGCAAAGCTGCCAGCGTTTTCATCTGGAGCCCCTGCTTAAAATGGCCCAACATACAAATGCACGGATATGGATACGGATACATAAACACACACACACTCAAGTGATAATTCCATTTTTGTTCCACCACTGCAGGGTGTATCCTTTCAGTCTAGCGCAGTGACCTCTGGGTTTAACCCTAACTGCAAGGAACTTATAGTACACAACCACCCAAAAAGACCACCCTTATGTGCAGCTTTCTAAATAGTCTACTGCCTCCCATGTGGCCTAGCCGACATGCATGAAAAACAGCTCTGTTTTGTTGTGATATGGCTGTATGATATACTTCATACACTTATTTATACACAATAAAAACAGTGATTAAATACTTAGAAAGAAGACTATCAACTTGTGTCCTGCTGCTATTACTGTTATTTCTTTTTCAAGCCAAACACAGATTCAGAAGAAACATATACTGCCAAGGCTGTTTACAGGTCTATTTTTATATCGCGTGCTGTTTTTGAGATTACATAATTGATAAAATAGCTTCAAAAGGCCAAAATTGCTTTTAAATAGACCAGGGCTGTTACCAAAACCCCTATCCACCACATAAGAAACTTGGCCGTCTTTAACAGAGAGCCTTATCAAATCCAATTCAGCAGGCTTTTGGTAAAATTGCCTTGTTTACATGAAACTGTGATTTCCCCAAGAGAGAGCTGATCAAGTTTGAGGCCCTGTCTTGGCATGTGCTGCCTATCCAAGACAACATCCAAGCTGTCAATCTATTGTTCCTGCCTTTTCCCCCTCATTTTAATGTCTCTAATTTAACAGCAAAACATATTGTAAATGTCTTTTTAAGGGAAAACATGACAAATCACTTTGACAAATAGAAGAATATCACATAAACAGGAATGAAAACATATGCTTGGGATTTTCCAGCACTCAACACCAGATAACTTTTGAATCATATTCGGTAGCTTATTTTAATATGTAAATGAACTGTGTTTATGATATCACAATATCAATTCAATAAGTTTAATAAAACATTCACTCACCCTGTGAGTGTAGTCACCACATACACCCTAGAAAAAATAAAAAATAAAAATCCATCACACACAGTCCTCTAAGGGCATTTCACAAATTATAATAACATTAGCTACTATTTTAATGCATTTCATGCATGATTTTACCTTCTCTCCTTTTGGACCAGGTTCACCCTGAAAAATAAGATTTGAACAAAAACTTAAAGTCCATCCAAAACCTAATTTATGCATAACATTCCACTGCCAAGTGAAAACTCCTGTGAAATTATGACTATATACTAATACATATTAAAGCAAATGCTTACTGGTACTCCTTTAGGACCACGAGGACCCTGGGAAAATAATCAGAATAATAATATGGAAGTGTTACTGGATTGTCCATGATTAACTTTTCCTGTTTACAAAACCTCTCAGCCATAACAAGCACAACAATTCCTTATAAATTAATTTCCTTATGTTAGAAAAGGAAAAACAAAAAAGAAACCTTTTTATTTTATTTTTTAAGTGCTAAGGCTGAAGCTAAATTTTGCTTGAGGAAGCTTTAGTAGGTTACAAGTGTCATTGTGTGCTTGTATGGAGGGCATTAATAAAACAATGTCCCACAATGCATTATGCTCTCTTAAAAAAAACATGTAATCCACAGCCTTAGAGTTGACAGCTAGATTGATTAAATGCCTTCAGAGGAGCCATAATATACATCCAGAATCATATCAATTTCTTTAATACTACCATATATGAACAAATGAGCAAATGTGAAGCATGAAGAATCTAATTAGAAACTTGTCAATAAAAGATGAAAAATCCAGCTTAGGTTGTATTTGGGTAAGCTATGTATTATTTAATAGCTCAATGTGGCATGTTCAAAAGCTCAGCAGGGGCCTGTGACGAGTGGGGGCGGGGCCGAGAGCCGTGGGAACGGAGCGAGGCCGGTGGAGTAATTGATAATGAGCGACACCTGCACCACTCACCGGTCTCGAGTCTCACGGAGGAGCTCCGGAAGGATAAAAGGGAGGAGTGACGACAGTGTCGGAGGAGAGAGGACCAGGCCTGGATTTTATTTTGTGTTTTGGTTTTGTTTGTGCGTGACAGTCGTCCACGAGGGGCTGTCGCGCTATTTTGTGTTTGTTTTATTATTAAAGTTTCCTTTGAATGTTCGCCGGTTCCCGCCTCCTTCTTCCCGAACTACGAACATTGTTACAGGGCCGTTCAGCTCTTATGCTGTCTTATAAAGGTGTCATTTCGGAAAAGTGCTTCTTTTTTATAGTTTCTAAGCATGCCATTTCTCACGATGCTATAAAAGAAAGAACATAGAGGTTGTACTATATTTCACAAGGACTGGTTTAAAGCGCACAGTTTGGAAGCGTAATGTCTCTGCCCATTGTCTTTCATCACGTAAAAGAAAGATGTGGACTACATTTTTCAAATTGCAGTTTAGGAGGACAGAGCCAACCCAATGTCCTTGTTTTAATACCACAGGTGGCCATAGTCATACAGATATTAACTTAAAGTCACTTTTGACAAACCCCACTGAATGGAATGGGTAAGCAGCCTCTCTTCTCTCACACATACCACCATTTAGTCACTGTACCCATAAATCAAACAAGAAGAGTGTTGTTCTTGTGAATTTATATGGCCATGCTCACAGCCTAGATAAACATCACTGTAACAAGCCATCTTGAAAACAAATGGCTCAACTGGTGAGTTTTATAGACACTGACAAATTTCTCTTTGTGATATCTTTTACTTTTTTACATATTTCTCTTTATGACAGATGGTTTTTATTCCAACGGTATTTCATTAGTGAAAGCAAACATGACAGATCTCATTATGTGTGTCCTTTTAAACTACAAGTAGTTAGATTTGTATTTTAACACTTCAGTTAATTCCAGCCAAGGTTAAAATGTGTTTTCTTAAGATCACATTCATAGGAAACTGTTTTTGCACTGCACCTTTAAAGCCAGTTAATAATGGCAAAAAAATTTCAAATGGTAATAAAAATTCTTACCATATCACCTTTTGGACCATTCTGTCCCTGTAAGGTTGAGGAAAAAAAAAAAGTTTAGCAAAGGAAAAATATCCATTCTCTTTAATCTTTTTAAGTAGTACAAATTACTGCATTCTTTGTGCACATATTGTTATCGATTTTATATTCTGTCGTGATGGTGACAATAGAGAATTTATTACAGTAATTAGCATAATTATTATTACCATAATTATCCTCTTCATTGCCAAAATGACGGTCAATTATCAATTACTGCCAAATAATTTGGTACAAGGGTTCGGAGGTTCCAATTACTGAAACATTTGTAAGGAATGATGTGAAACTCACAGGTTTCCCGTCCAAGCCGATGGGGCCCTGGAAAAAAAGTGGGAGAACAGCAGATTGGTGACATTATGAAGGCACAAAACAGCTCCAATTCTCCTGTCTAGACTAGCTGAATAATATGACAATGTTTATGGAAAAAAAGTTATTTCCTTGAGGGTCAGGCTATAAGGCAGAGGTGAAGCGTAAAAGACTCACTAGAAACCCTGTGGGTATTGTACTTAAACTCTGTGTACCCAATGTTTCCAGCAGATCAGTGAACATGCAGGGTAATAAACACCTAAAAACTGATTTTAACATCCAGAACACGCAGGCTGCCTATAGAAAGGGCTCAGGGACATTTATACACCTTACATTGCCTATATAATCTCACATTATCCAACTTCAGTGGTTTTCAAGCCCTGGGTCCCGACCCTCGGGTGGGTCACCAAGATGATTTAAGGAAAATGTATACATTTATGTAACAAAGTTCAAGACTCAGGGAAGAAGGAAGCAGGAACTGGCAAACATAACTTTAATAACAAAATAAACATAAACAACAAAACGAAAGTAAGGGACAGCCGCCTCACAGCAGACTCCAGTGTGTATCTGTCTCTCTGTGTTTGCGGTCTGGAGAGCATCAAAGGTTTCTATTCACATTGTGTTTTTGCAGCATTGAACACTGTAGGCAATCTGTTGATTTCTGGAACGCGACGGCCAATCAGCTGTTTCAGTTAGTCACGATCCACTCACCGCTCAAAACGGCAGAGTTCTGCAAGCTCGCGAATCCTCTCATTATAATCAACAAAGTCTGGACGTGATATAAATAATAGATTCATTGTGCAGTGTAGAGAGATTCATTGATTATAATGGAATTTTCTGAGATCGGTATAAACTGAAATGAGTGACAGCTTTTCAGTGGTTATAAAGGGAGCGCTCTTTGTGCGCTTTCTTGACTATATATATAATCCATTCAGAATTTGAATAAGTTTTGTTTTTCATGCTGCTAAGAGGACCAACTTGGCATATACGCTGCAAAGTTTCAGAAGTGACATTCGCATATAAATGGAGTATTCCCTCTTGAAATCACAATGACTGACAGTGATAATCATAATAATTGACTGGACAAAATATGTTACGTATAAAAAGATGTGCATGAAGGCTAAAGCACCCTAACTAATTTCATCTATCTATCTGTCTATGCTTGATTTGATGCATGTAAATGGTTGTATAGGGTCACGTCAATTTAAAAAGAAAAAAATACAGTCGCTTTTAAAAAGGTTTGAAAACCACTGTTCTAGAATGACAGCTATACATGTCTACTATATGTTTATTCTCACTTCCTTGAGTCATTTCCACTTACATCCATTAAATAAGGGGCTTGATGGCTTTTATAAACTAACAAATAAACTCTACACAAGTTTGTCCAATTGGCTGCAGACAAAAGTCACTTACCGGAAAGCCTGGAAATCCTCTAGTACCGGGTTGTCCCTGAGGGGAGACAGAAAGAAAAAAGAAGAGGAGTTATTTTCTATAGGAAAAACTTGAGGATTATGTGAAGTCGATGAAATGAGGTCTGTGTTGAGAGATGCGGTATTGTTCCTCCAAACTCAGTTGTGTCGTAATTGAGGTTGAAGGACAGGAGCCTTCCTGCTCTCTAGGAAGCACTTTGAGGAGACAAAGACAAATAAAGCTCTAAAAAATGTGGGACACCGACTGAAATTCAACACTGGAAAGAACCATCTGAAAAACATTAAAGAGTTGTCCTTATGCAATATGTGAGAGCCAATGAGACAAGGCTAACAAATTAAATAAGTAAATGTCAGTAATGATTAGTGCTACATTCTCCTGTGAACAATGCCAAGTTTGCTTTCCTGAAAAAACTTTTGTAGCCCTTGGGAAAAGAGGCAGTCATTCAATATGCCTGGCAAAAAAGAACTGCATTGGAGCGACCTGAGAGAAAATTACAAGGAAGAGGTGAACAGAGCTAATGAAGGGGATTGTGTGTCTGGGTCTCAGGTAGTTATTGGAACATGGTTGATTTTCTCTGATATGGGAACTGGTCTGGAATAATGGAAGTAGCAGCAGAATCACCCGAAACAGAACTGACAACATTCATTTTGTTGGCATGAAAGTGTAGCAAAGAGTAACAGAAAACAATTGAATAAAACAAGTCTAGTCTACTGAAAAGAACTCCTCTAAACCAAAAATCCACTATGGCCGCAACACATAACATTCTTCAGGAGTGATACGACATCAATTTCCTGACTGCAGTCTGTCTTGGAATTAAACCCAGATTAAATATCACTTTTCAGTTGTTTTCAGGACAGACACAATTTTTCAAAGTGTACCTTGAACAAAACATGACAAATACAACAAAAGATACTTGACAACATAAGACAGGGGTTTTCAAACTGGGGTCCAGGAAAGCTAATGGATCAAAAGAAAAGAAAAAAAAAGGATTTAGCATTTTTATTTTTTAAGACCTGTCAAAGTGTCAATGTTAAGTTAAGCATAGCTTGTATTTATGTTGTATCTTTGTTGTACTTTCAGTTTTAACCATGTTCCCAGCCTGATCAGCCAAGACAGTAACTGTTGATCGAATAACAACTCAGTACATCATCTAATAATCCCTCTTGTCTATTCCCTAACTGCCCCACTTATGTGTGAGAAAGAAACTGTTACCGCCCCATCATGTCTACCTGCCTGGCTAAAGCAGTCATTTCTGCTGGCCTTTCCACACTTTTGCCTCAAATCAACCTCCGTGACCCTTTTGGAAGTGAGGACAAAGCCTATGCTCTCAGCTCACCTGCTTAAGACATTCCCTGCAAAGAAACTTCTCCCTGTCACCAGTTCTCTATGCCTGATGTCCACTCCTGACGTCTTATTAGAGGTGATGGGTCAGAGGTATAGAGAAGTGTATAATCAGCAAGCAGAAAAACAGATGTCTGAACAGTCTGAAGGTTCTCCCATAAGAGTGTGCTGGGATAAATGGGGAAACCACAGGTTATGGAATTCCACTTCTGATGGCGTAACATTACATTTTTGTCTTGCTGAGTGGAATGCATGGAAAGGGAAAGAGTGCCAGTTTGGGGACAAGCCCCATTTCGTCTGATGGCTAACCACTCATTAACAGATACAGCGCAATCTGCACGTCTAATGTCTGGACAAATGACAAGGGCTGGGATGTTTTCATTCCTTCCTGCTAATGAAGATGAGGATCCAAATAGGCGTCATTATGTGGGAGTCACAGACCCGAAATACTCTGATGAAGTGTAAGTGCTTCCATACAAGCTGCTGTGGGATCCCCGTCCTGTTCGTGCACATTAGAGATTGCGTCTTGATTAGCAGAGATTTATTGGATTTGCTCCACATACAGTAGTGTGCTGGAGGACGCTGATCCTGCTTATCTACCCTACACCACATATTTATCGAGCTCACTTTGGGGTGGTCTGTAACTTCAGTGCGCGAAGAAAAACAATAGAAGAAACATTTGCCAAGAACCCCTGGAATCATAAAAGGATTAAGGCCAAAAGCTGCTAAAATCTGCACTATGACCTGTATCTACTCTGGAGAGCTGACATTAGGAGAAGATGATGAAGTGTTTTAGCAGTGACAGAGCAAACACTTACAGGAGGTCCTCGTGGGCCAATGATAGACAGACCTGGCTCTCCTGGCGCTCCCTATGGACAGATAGAGAGGTAGAAAGACAGTGAGGAGAGGAACTGACAGAAAGGAGACAGAATGATATCCACTAAACTACACCTAGTACACAAAGCCAAACGTATCAGTGAATATATTGTATCTGCAGAATAGAAAAACGTTCGCTGAAACACCCTGTAACATCTGTTTAACATAACTCTTTTGCTAAGCTGCCTCACGGAGAGCACTTGCATGTGGCTCAGAGATGAACACGGTATTTTGGTCTGTAAGTAAAATGTCAGCAGACCCAGGTTCTCATTTAGGGCGAGTCGGGAGGGTCAGGGAGCACTGCTGAGTAAACAGCAAACGGCCCGGTGGGTTGGTTATCTGGCGCAAACTAGGTGATTTGCACTGTGTCGGCCTGTCCGCAGCACTGCACCAAACATCCAAGCGCTATCCCGCAACGCTCTGTGGTCAGACAGGAAAGCTCTCGGGTTTCCAGTACTTTCCCTAATTAGCTCTCTCAAGTGAAACTCTATCAGGAAGACACCTTTGATGACCCAGCCATCCATCAAATTGTGGGCAATTTTTAATTTTTCTGGTTCGATGCCCACTTTATCACAGGATAGAGAAGTATTTGTTTTAGCACTTTTTTGAATCACCTACAAAGGTTACTGGTGAGTGAAAAGGGTGATGTATGAAACTGATTTCCAGGTTGTGGAAAAGGAAAAGACTAAGCTTTGCCCCCAAGGTTTATGGTTACCCACAGAATCTTGCAGAGATCTGTGCAACAGGACAACCGAAGATCTAGAGATATCCCTTTGAACAGGCTTACATTACAAGCATTTGGCAGCTAGGAAAGGGTACAGGACAAAGAGTCCAAATACAATCAGCCAAAGCAGGAGTAAAAAATTCTGCTGATATTCAAGGATTGGACTTACTAATGAATGATACGATCTTCACAGATTTCATTTCGTTCAGCAAGTAATCCTTTCTGTGTAAAGAATACATCTCAAGTTGTCTCAAGTTCTGCAGTTCTTGCAAAGTTCAACCAATCAATCACCAATTCGCCTGATTTTGGGCTTGAGCATTCCAACGCAACCAATTATGATTCAGCTGAATTTATTTGCTTGAGGACTGAAGCGCTATAGCTGCCAGTTTCAGGGCTAGCGTGCTCATTCATCTTGAGGGGGTTTGTTTTGATATCTAATGAAGTGAAGTTCTTCACCCAAAATTTGTTGGGTCAAGACTTACCCTTGCTGGAAGGTAAAACATGGCCGCACTTAAAAAGAGAGGATAACAACTAAACCCCTGTAACAACGAGGGAAGCCCACTGATTATTCTGGACGAGAATCTGGTGGGTCTTTCCAAGGTCATATATTGTCTGCTTCTCTACTTGTCGGCTCGGTGGTCACATTGCTATTTATTTCCTTTCCAAGTTCTTTATAACCCCAATGTTTTTCTGGCAAGTGAGGGTAACCATCCAGAAGTTTCACTACTTTTCTGTGATGGTGAAGGATGAGGAACATGTTCCTCCACACATTGCTTGTTTGGCCTCAGACATTACACATCATTCAAGCTTGATGAAGGGAGGCCGCATAACTGCTGGCTTGTACAAACACTGAGCACAGCTGCCAAAAGGGACTGGTTTAAGAATGGCTCAAACCACATTTGCCACAACAGGAACTGAAGTTCAATGCACTAAATCCAGTATAGAGTGCTCACTCATACCAAATACAGACTCAAGGACACATCCAGTGACTACACAACTTTTAGATCGTTTTGGATGTGTCTAGAAGTGATAGGATTTCGTAAGCTGCTCTATTCCAAACATCTCTTTGTCTAGAGTGGGGAGTCTTAATACTTCAGAGCGCTCCAAGAATAAACACAGGTAATCCAAGCATTGTGGGAAACGTCTTCCGAATGTGACCCCCAAGGCTTTTCAAAATAAAGCCTAAAGCCTTCCTGATATAAATCACGATACCTGCGCACTTTGTGCAATAGGTTCGGGTTGTCCCCCCACACCCGCATCAACACAGCCACCCACAATGAGAGAGTGTCTGAATTCTGCACATGCAGGCCGACATCCTGCACTTACCTTCTCCCCCAGGTTTCCCTTTAAGCCCTGGTCAGTCACAGCAGACAAAGTCACATGCACAGTGAGAAGGAGAGAGACAGAGAGGAACCTGGGTTAGCGAGGTTCTGAGAGGACAAGGGCATGCAGCAGCCTGAGATGGAGCATTTGGAGGTCGGGAGAATGGGACACACTGATGTACTGGAGCATTTTGGGTTGTTGAGGGGTGGTGGCTACAGGGGAACGGAAGCACTGGAGTGTTACACTGCTGGCCTGTGGGGAGTAATGGATAGTAGATGAGGGGGCTGCTAACTTTTCTCACAGACAGACTGGTCAGTGGAAGAGTTTGGGGCGGGGGGGGGATAAGCCATGAAGGGTGAAAAAAACACTTCCTGTGAGAATCTAAAGGAGCACAATGTAGCTTTACACTGGGTGAAATATGGAAAGCTCTGCTTGGGGCTCACAGTTTGAGCTGAACACTGCTGAAACCTGCTTTTAGGTAGGGATTGTTTTTCAAGAGAACGCATTAGGGTGAGCTTAGAGTATGCAACCATACAAGGGTCAAGAGTCTGGAATGTCTCCTTTGAGGACAATGAAGTTTTATCGGTTTCTTGCTGAAAATGTTTAATGAAGAGTAGCTGCTACGCTCCAGGGGGACATCTATACGACTATGTGGATTTTGGTCGATCCTGCTTTCTTTTGCGACACATCATGCATTGCGCTAATCTGAAAAATGGGCAAGTCCAAATGCACAAATCTTATGAATGAGGAGGTAAAACAGAGCTCACAACTGTCTGTGGTTTTCCAATCTGTTTCTCTCATTTTGAATATGTACGTATTGTCTGTCTGTGGATATATATCCAAAACGTTTCTTCCAAGATCTCCTCGAGGTTTGGCTGCACATTTTAACTTCTCAGCATGTAGAGTGCAACTGATAAGCAAAAGGCCTTCTTTGAGGTCTATTTAAAGTTCAACAAGTAAAGCATTTTCACATGACTGAGCAGCCAAGACAAATTGAATAATAAGGAGAGAGAGTTTCTCATCAAATGCAGCCAGAAAGAACTCTGGTCTTCAGTCCTTGTTCAAATGTGACAGGGGGGCTGTGAAATACTTCAGACTTCACAGTCAGATATTTTGTTAACTATTAATGGTGGTGATGAAGTGGGAACCATTTTCTGGCTAAATAAATAAGCTATAGTTTTTGGTATACATCATATAGTTGTAGTTAATAGCTGAAACGCTACATTAAACTTTTGGAAGAAATTCATATGAAATATTGTGAATGCTTACATTCACAGTGAAAGCTAAAACAGGTCAAAATGAATTAGGAAGTGATACTAACCACTGATACTGGATTCTGTATATAACATACTCTGGTAACTAAAGCAAACATTACTCTTCAGTTCAGTCTGACCTTATATTATCAATGTGACCTTTGGCATAAATACAAACGTGTCGTACAGTTGCATTTAGAAATGTTCAGCTAGAAATCATGTCAATGGCATGACACTGACCAATTATTCAAGACAACAGCCATTTACTACAGACTAGCTGGTTGGCCTTAGTGCATTTCATCAAATCACTCACCATTCTTCCAGGAATGCCCATTGATCCTTTGTCTCCCTAGTGGTCAATGCAAAGTCAAGAAGGGAAATCAGGAACAAAAAATCTGACAGATTGAACCTCTACATTCTATTGGAGTTATTACCACTACCGCTAGTGACTAAATGACATTCAGCTACATGTTCACATGGTAAGGCTATAAAGAGTTAGTAAAGGTAAGCTGGCCAATGTGATTCTAACTAAATGTCTATATTACTAAACATTCACTGACTGTACTGTTAAATTTAAAGGTGATGATGCAGGCATGCCAAATACTGTCTTGAAAAAAAAAAAAAACTACAAGTCAGCTACTCAAGAATTTGATGATGAATGTGTAGTGGTCAGACAGCAAGCGTCACCAGTGGTTACATGATATCAATGAAAGCATGAGGTTAATGCAGCGTATTTTTTATATTAGGCCCATTTCATAATCACGGTTCTTGCATAAGATGATGTTTGCTAGCTGACCATATGACAGGTGATGAAGTGACTGAAAAAGACAGCAGTGTGGAAGCATGACAGTTTGTTTCCTATTGGAATGGTTTAAACGAATAGTTCACCAAAAAATGAAAATCCCGTAATTTATTCGCCCATATGTCACTTTAAACCCACATGACTCCCTTTCTCCCTCTGAAAACAAAAGGGGAAAAAATCTGAGGATTTTTTTCCCATGCTGCTTTCCATGCAATTACAATGGACAGAAACTGAAGCTTTCAAACTTTAAAAATGACAGAAAAGCACTATACAGCAGTGGCGTTCCGTCCATATAAGCTGCGAATGCTCCGCATACCCAGGCCATTTGAGAGAATAAGTTCACGGGATAATTCATATAAACATGATTATAAGTTGATCCCTTGTCATTTGAAACGTAACTTAAAGCTTAAAGAGTTAGGAATAAGTACGTAAAATGATTTTTTTTCCAAACGGCAGTAATTTTCTTTAAATCTACCATCTGCGATTGCTTCTGGGTGAGCGGATTCTCCGCAGCTTTCTCGCCTCCGCTCTGTTGCTATGACTCGTCAGGATTATAGTGCGTTCTCAGTGATTTGCTGGTCTGCGGCAGATTTAATGCGCGAGGTAAACTGTTCGCGAAGCGCTCGCCCAAGCGGAAAAATGCGCTGTTGCTGCCAGATCTCGATTGCTGAAAATTACATCGTGTTTGATGCAAAACCAACTCGACTAAATCACAAGAAAAAAACACTAACTGTATATTTTTATTTTGTCAAGCAAAGCAAATTGAAAAAAAAAAAAGTCCACTGAATAACTTACATTTTTGGTCATAGACAACGTACACTGAAGATATACGTTATTGTCAACGTTATTGCCTAAGCGGTCAATTTAAAAAAATGTTTATAAAAACGTGGGCTATATAACATTTTAATAATAACAATGGAATTAACAATGGAATGTTCTCCTTTTAAGTTCCATGGAAAGGTTTAGAAAGCCTTGAAGACATAAAAAAAGCTGAATTTTCATGTTTGGGTGAACTACCCCTTTAACAACTATGAACCCCATTCTATCATAATCATAGCTGCAATCCCTACTCAAAATCCGACCACTTCTTTCAATTAAGGCAAAAATCCCCGGAACATATGGGAAATGTGTGAGTACTAACCTGAGATCTTGAAAAAATGGTCATAAGGATTCACCATTTACAGCTTTGTACCAATGCATTTCCAAACATTTTATGCTATTTAATGCAGCTATAAACTCCCGCAACGTTGAAGGGACTTATTATGCAAGGCTGTCCATTCCTACAGCTGTTTTTATTTGCATTCCTAACGTTGCAGGTCAGTGTATTAGAAGGTCTGGGAGTGTTGACAGCTTGCTGACGACTCACTCGAGTAACACGTAATGGAAAAAGGGGGGAGGCTAAGCCCCCATAACTCATCAGAAGTCAACAAAACATTTGCTAAAACAATGAATTTGCTCATGAACTGTAGCTTTTCTGGTGCGTAGTTGATTTACTAAGCCCCAAAGCTATTAAGATAAAGGTTCCCATATTAGAAGTGTTCATTTAGTTTGACCTTCAGAGTTAATTCACTGCCTGCTGCTGAATGTCCCAAGAGGAAAGTCACTTGACTGAATTCTCTTGGCTCTGTCCAAGGTGCTGATTTGAGATAACTTAATATTGCTTTATGGCATTAATTATTTACCACAGTATTTATTAGTTACCATAATAATTGTAATGATTTTATGCATTATTTTGTATATCAAATAAATAGTTTTAAATCATTTATTTAATATGATTGTTATCCTCAAATACACAGTATAAGCCATACACTATAAAAGTCATACAGTACTGCCAATATTCAAAGCAGTCATTGTGAAAGAGAATCTTTCTATTGTAGAAAGTATGTAAAATCATCTAGAGCTTTAGATTAGAAGTAGCTTGATGAAGTACACTACAAAGTCCAGACTTCTCCAAATGAGCCTTAAAGTACTTAACTACAAATCAGAAGTGTTAAATAGTCATACATACATGTGAATGTGCAGTAAAGCTTAAATATACAAACCACAAGTATCCCTTAATAGTTCAACGGAGCGTGACTGCCAATATCAATATTTTTTGAAGAACTAATCTAATGGACACATTTCGTGTAACACGCTTGCCACCTTCCCCTACCGTCCATCCTAAGAAAATACAAAATTTCATTTCTTGATGATGCAATCAATCAAAAGCTTTGGCAGGGATTACATCCATACTTTGACCAGCCCTGTCAACAATTTAAACAAAAAGTACGCAAAAAAAGATTTTACAGCAAAGTTTCACAAGAATAGCTGTCATGAGTGATGGGGGTTTGTAGGTTATAATTGGCAGGTAGGACTAGAGTTCACATTAGATGGGATTCTTCTAGCATGCCATGATGAAAGACAGATGTGTTTGAGTTTTGGTCAGTAATATTAGAATTATAGGTGAAATGCAGATGAGTGGATTCAGACAGACACCAAAGGGCCTAAGAGAATACAATCAAGTATAAAATACAATGTGCTAACTTGAAGGAATAGAAACTTGTCCACTGAGCCTATCTAAGAGACTCGTTACATTAAGCCTAGCTTAGCTTATCTGGTTTAGGGGAATGTTCAGTGGGGTCCAAAAGTCTGAGACCACTTTGAATTCCTTCCTCATTTCATATTACAAGCATAACTATGGACTGAATCCTGATGATCATGTAACTTTGGCGTGATTTGAGAATGATCTAAAGAGCATCTTGAGCTTCAATGGATGCAAGATCATTTGAGTTTACATGAACAATGTCATACATTTATTTAATTAGTAAACAAGAAATAGTGCCATATCTGAAATACATCTTCATTTTACATCACAACTTTTCTTCCTCAGTCCCTTGGTTAAAAGGAGGTCTCAGTGTGTCCAAATAAAGAAGCTGTATATATGACATACTGCATAATACATAATTCAGAATTTTTCATATTCAAGTTTCTGGTTGAATTGTTTGTATACAGCTTCTTAAAAATAAGACACTACTAAAGAAAGGCAAAATGCAAGAAAACCAAACAGACATATAGACAGACAACAGGACACATTATGAGACAGTTACCGGAAAGCCTGCTCGTCCAGGTGGACCCTGAAAAAGGGGCGAGAGAAATGGGTACAGAATAAAGAAAGAACCAGTCAAAAATAATCTAGAAAAAAAATCTAGAAGAACACAACACCCTGCCAAGCCATAATAAAATTCAGTCTGCTTTTACAACGATTTGATTTCAATATTGAATAGTGAATCAATTTTACTGAGGAACTTTGTGATCCAGCATTAAATTTCATTGTGACAAGGTTCAAATGTCACAGCAGAAAAACACTCCAAAGAAGCATTCCACAAATGCAAACACCATCAAATGCTTCCACAACAGAATTTTCTTTGGACCCCAGAAAATCTTTTTTAATATCACATGTTTCTTTTATTTAATGGCTTTAAATTTGTCATTGAAACCCATTTTAATCTATATTTTTACAGTAAAAATAAAATATAAACACCCTTAACACAAGACAAATTTACTCCAAAAGAAATACAGGTAATAAAATCTGTTTTCCAGAAATATACCTCAACCTTAATTATAATTTTTCTTGTTTCAAGTAAAATTTTAGTGAGGTTTACGCTTAAAATAATTTTAAAAAATTGCCCATTGTTACAAAAACTTAATTAGAATAATATGTAATAATAGTCTGATTAATTTACATAATTTTTCTCAATAAAATCTTTATTAAGGATGTTTATATACAATTTTTTGTTTTTTTAGTGTGAAAGTCAATTCAGTTCACGTCATTACTAATCATGATCTATATTTCAGTAAGATCATTTCAGGACTAAACATTTAGTGCCAGCATGAACAATGAATAGAACCATATGTTGGATTAAAAAAGATGTTCATTAAAAGGCCCACGCATGCATGAAACATGGTTTCACAGATGAAGGTGCTGGCTGAAAATCCTTATCTCATGCTTGACTTCAGAGTCGATTAAGGGGATCGCTCTGGTTTAAATCAAATCAAATCAAATCAAATCACAAGTTCACTATCCTCACGGAGCACCATTCCGCTGTGAAAAAAAAAAAACTGTGTACATTTTTCATTGCAGAGGATTAGTGGTAAAACAAACCTGACAGCTGCTTGATTCAAAGAAAGATTCTTTCTGTTAAGACCGCCTTGACACTCTTCATTATCTGATGATGCATTTATAGTTCCTTTCATGAGCCTGTGGAAGTGCGTACTAGTGTTTGTGTGTGTTGGCTTTCCTCTTAGGCTACAGTGTGGAGAGGGAAGCCATTTATCAAGCCTCAGCCCAGGGGAGGAAACTATTGCAGACGGACAAAAACATCCGTGGCACTATCTTCTGTCTGTATGCTTTTATATGACCATACAACATTCAGACCAAAAAAAAAAAAGGTTGAACCTGTTGAACACGGACTAGTTAGCCAGAACAAAAAACAATTTATTGCAATATTTACTCCAAGAGTCCAAAAACTAAAAAGATTTTGCATTTCTGCAACTAGGCAATCACAAAATGCCTGTTCTCGTTAAATCTAATGTGTGTCACTAAATGTAGACTGTTGAAGTGTGTTGGAAAGAATGACAGACCATTAATAGGATCTTTAGGTTCAGAAGGCACACATGTGGCAGAGCAGTGGTACAAGGTATATGAGAGCTGGATGCAGCTGGACCAGGTGTTTATAAGCGGCGGTGTGTTGAGAGAGGAACAGACCTCCGCTGGACGAAGCTGAGATCAGGACTGTGTGTAGTGCTCTATGTGTGTACGAGTGAGCTGGTCTACATGTGCTGTGTGTATATGAATGTGTTGAAGTATGTGAAGCAGGTCTAAGGTGCAGGCCCAGGTGCTGAGTGGGAACAGGCCACTGAGGTCTGCTGGGTGCTGCTCAGGCTGTCCCAAAGGAGCGTCTGGCGAGGTCAGAGGTCACCCACCGGAAGAACATTTAATTTGAGATCCACGGTAGCAGGGTACATGTGGCTCTCATTCAGCCCAGAGCGCTGCTGAGTAAATGGAGGGGCTCCCCAGGGGAAACGGGGGCGAATGCTTCCCTAGAGTGCAACATTGCACGGATAAGATATGTAAGGGAAACAGGTCAATTTAGCTCAAAGGGAATCATTTAAGATTTTAATTGACCTATCGTGCATGGAGCTCTCTGGCTTCCATTCAGTTTGGAATTACTGGCGGATATTAGGTGCGGTGAGTCAATCCTAATATCTGACCTTTGACCCCTGTGGATGTAAGGACATGTTCTGTGAAGACCAGAGGTTAAGAGGTCTGTAAGGAATCTCTGAAAGTCTGTTCTTTGTCTCCTAGGTGGGGGGAAAGCCAATCTACAGGGCTCGTGATTGTGTTTACTATCACGTGAGGGTCATGCTGTCATCTCTTTGACCATTTAATCTTGATTACTTGCCCTAAAATTGACAATCTCCTTCCTGAGTTGTTATGATCAGTGTGTTCCTTTTGTGTTAATGTTGAAAGCTGTTCTGTGAAAGAGTTGGTTAGGCTTGCTTCAGACTGGCTAGTGCTAGGGTCTGATTTATGAACATCCTGTTGTCTTGGGCCTCTGTGGAATTCGGCTTCTCATGTTTCAACCATGTTTTGACCAAATCTTAGATTGTCTGATTCGGTCTGATATCCTACAGATATATTCAGCGAACACAGGGCACTTACAGATCACATGCAGTAAAAATACTGAAAAATGCGGAATTCAGCAAGTATATCACTAATTTAATCATGCTGTTCTTTTAAAAACAAAGCAGGACAAAGTATTGTGAAAATTTACCTCAAAATAATGTGTCGATATCACATTGCCATGAATTTTTATTTTTGGATGTGCATTAATATTTTTGGAAAGATTTACTAACCCTGCATGTGAATATGTCTACTTCCCTAGTATGTGAAAAGAGTAGTATTCATAAAAAAGCTGGCGAAAAGTACCTACTACTACTTCTGAAATGTGCATCCAACAGATGCTTTACTATCCCATGAGGCCATGGGACAGGATTTGTGAATGACAATGAAGTGATGCAACTGACGCTGGTAGGTCACATGACCATATAGTATAGTATGTCCGGAATTCATTCGCACTACACATATTAATACTATATAGAATGTCATAAAGTAATTACTTATTTAAAAGAAGTACCTACTCGGAAAGTATGCAGTTTTGGACACAGTGTAAAGTTGTGTAAATTTACCATAGCTCTGTGAATTATCGAAGACGAAATCCAATAACTTCAACAGGTTCAAATTGGTCACGCAGATGTGTTGCGTTAACGAACAGAAAGCTGTTTGGTTTGAAAGTGACTACTTTGTGAGCAGTGCTTCGTAAATCATTACACTGTTGACAATAGACAGTGGATATTTTTTGTGAAAATTTCCTAATTTGACCACACCTTAAGTCTGTGAGTAGATAAAATATATTGTGGAGGCCATGCATACTTGATTCCTTCTCTTTAACCAAACACAAATTCAGACTGACCTATAAATATAAACTCATAAAGCACTGAAGTCCATTCCAGATAAATAAGAAACATACAAATCATAATTTACACTAAACATAAATGATATAATACTGTATCACCAAGTCCCTGCTGATTTTCACCCCTAATTTTCAAGTGTTTCACCCCTAATGTTCATGTGCTTGAGACTGACCATTGCAATGTTCCACAGGAGTTTTCAACACACTAAACTGAGGTGCTTTCTGTCAGTGTAAAATGTTTCCTGTCACTACTAATTGTTTAAGGCTGGGTTAGGCCAGCCATGCCTCAAAAGCAGGCAAAAGGCTATGCTCCTGTGAGGTGACCTGTGAAGAACCACAGACTATTATGCATTTAAACTTTTCAAAGTATTCACTTTCAGCGCACAGGAAAAGGCCAATTTGGTGAAGTTTTACAATTGCCATCACATCAGTAAGAGTGTTGTCTTAGTTTTCTTGTTGGATAATCTACAGTATACACTCTTCTAAGAATTGCCATAGGTCAGTGTAATGGGACAGCCCTCTAGGACCATTGATCAGGCACCAGGCTTGCCAAACTCTTTCTGAAAACAAACACTGTAGTTAAAGACTTACTGACACTGATTGCCAATAGATCACCAAACCTGTTTAAAGAAGACTGACTTGATTAAAAGAATTCACTAACTATCTCTAAACAATCTTACTTGACAACAGTAGAAATATCAGCTTAATGTTTAAGTTAGTTAACAGACGTGCATTGTTTGACAGTTCCCTCACCTGTCTTTCAGTTCTTCTCAATTTGCCTTCAATTTATGGGTTATATGAGCAGGTGTTGAAATGTTCATATACATATGTGAGTTTTTGGGCCCTGGAACCTGCTCACCCAAAGGGATTATTTGTTGCTCATAAGTTTCACTTTCATAGCTCAGAAGACATAAAGGAACAGTTCACCCCAAAAAAATAAAGCAAAACTGAATTAAAGGGAGAGAGGACAGACTCATTCAAGCTCCAACAATCACATACTGTAAAAACAACTTTAAATGTCAAATAAATGGTCCATTTGTGAAGACATGTCATGCCAGATTTGAGGTTAAATTATAATAAACATCAATGATTATTGAATTATCACAGTGAGTAAATGATGATATAAATTTGGGTGAACGATCCCTTTAATATAGTTCATTCATATAGTCCATAGTATTTATCTCAGGTGTTTCTCCTAAAATTTATTAGAAAAATTAAAATGAGACAACTGTTGTCATACAATAAGAGTACAGTACTATTACATTATTGTGACCATTGCTCAGATCATTTCAACCCAAGATCATTGGAAAAGCGTGCCTATGGTGACATTTCCACAAAATTATATTATGTTGCTTCTTGCATGTTTTCCGAAACTTTCCAAGTGCTATAAATGAATTCAGTTTTATCCCAAACAGATGAAGGGAAATTTATTATGTGGGTTGTATGAAGTTGTGACAGATCAGAAATGTCTGATGAGTGGCGCTAAAAGGTTATTGCTATAAAAGGTTATATCCCCCTACACTAAACCCTACCCTAAACCTAAACAATATGTGAGATAAAAATGCATTAGCTGAAGTAACCATGCCATTTTATACAAGCCT